CTCTCTTTTTTCGGCGGTGGGGGGATTGGCCACAGTCCACCCTCCCACTTTTTGTGGAGTAAAATTGCTGCTTCTATGGTCTAGCGTCTAGAGTCTAGACGCTGCAAAATTGCCAATGGCTTCTGGCTTTGGTCCCCTGACTTTTGCCGCTGCTCCGCTGCTCTGGCTCTGGGTGGTGTTTCCACTTTCAGCTTCACCTTGGGAGTCGCTTAGCTGTCTAAATATGTCACTTGAATTTGATGACGGCCACTTGGAAGCAAAGAAAAGCCAGCCCATCCCCAGTACCCCCCTGTCTATCCACACACACACATACGATTAAGTTTCTCCCCTCGTTTTTTGTGTGTGTCCCCGTGTTTTCTTAAAATATTAGATCCCTTTTTCTCCCTTTACTGGTTTTTTTTTTTTTTTTGCTTTGTTTTGTGTTCTATGGGGAAATTGTTTTGCTGCTTTTTATTGTCATTTTTGTTATTTGTTATGGCTCTCCCCCACCACACCACACCACACACCACACCACGTCATGCCACACACGCCACGTGTGTGCCCCGTTTCCGTATCTGTATCTGTTATTTGCTCTCGACTTCAGTCACTGAGCGAGTGAGTAGTACGTACCAAAGGCCAAGAGCACAAGTTGTCATGAATAATGAAAAAGCAACGTGAATATATTTCCTTAGGTAGTGCAGCGGGTGGGGTGCGGTGAGGGGTTGTTGGCGGCAGCAATAGATTGCAGAATACACAGAGGAAAGATGTTGTCATAAGGGGGGGTTGTCAGAACGAAATCTTGTGATACTCGAAGAACTGTAATTAAAAAAAAAAGAGTTCTTAATGTTTAAAAAACGAAAGGAAGTGAAAGAACGGGTACGAGGGGTGGCTTCGGATTTTTAGAATGATGAAAAAAATAAATATTTTAATTTAAAAATAAATTCAATGTTAAAATAGCAAAAAATTATAAAAAAAAAATAATTGATAAAATTAAATGCAAAAATAATTAAATAATTAATAAAAAAAATTATTTTTTTGTATTAAATCGAGTCCAAATTCGTTTCATGCTCTGGGAAAAAACATGGTATAAAAAATTAAATTAGTATACAAAAATATAGGAGAACAAAAATGCCTAATTCTCAATATTTTTTAGTAACAAATACTTTTGATCAATAGAAAAATCACTTCAAAGCTTAAGCTCTCAGTATTTGTATCTCTTTCTACCAAAGAAAATATTATCAGACATCTTAGCCTCTCCTTTGACTATGATTACTGATACATTTTCAGCGTAAAATTTGCCACTGCCAAAAAAAAAAAAACAATCTCTATTTCTTTCAGTGTTTCAATACCCAAGCCTCATCCTCAGCAGGTTGCCAATTGCTAATTCACTCAACAGAGAGACTCTCAACACGGGAGGAGCAGTCTGCCGGAGGTCTTCCCCACCAATTCCAGAGTCCCAAAGTCTAGTTTTTTATCCCCGTGCCTTTGTCTGATGCCAAGTCAGCTCCAGCCAGCCCCGGTCCCCCCAGAGAGTTTTCTTCAACGTTGGTGACTTCCTCTTTGTATCTTTTTTTTTCTGTTTTATGTAGAGTCACGTCAACTCAAAGTCCCTTTCTTGGGTTCCAACTGTTTGCTTTGGAAATTCCTTTGCCCAGTCGTTGAGAAAATCGAAATCAAGCAAAGCAGCAAATAAACATTCAATAAGGCAAAAGCAACAGCAACAGCAGCCAGCAGCCAAAAAAGTGTCAATTTGGGAGACGGCAAACCCCAATAGATGGAACCTCTCAAAATGCTAATTAAACGGGGTTGGCATAGGATAAACTTTAAATGAACTGCCAGCCAACAGAATGACAGCCAGTGTCGGTGATGGATGCAAAACAAAACACACAAAAAATAACCAAATATTTTCCGCCGTTTAATGAAAAACTTGGGCGGGCAAATGTCAGGCCAAAAACAGCAACAAAACTGAAAAGTTTCGGGCCATATCAGTGGCAGTTGGGCGGAAGGGAGGCGTGGTGAGAGGATGGCACTGCAATTTACCCTCAAACCAGAAAACCAAAGAAAACTCAAACCCAAAATGAGTCCCCGGATGTGGTAAGAACAAAGATGCTGCCGCTGCCGCTGCCGCTGCCGTTGCCGCTGCTCCCAGCTAAACCAACAAAATATTATCCAACAGCAAAACGAAAAGATGTTGCCGCCTGTTGGCCCTCAGCTCAGCTCTTCTCTGCTGTGCTCTGTTCAAACCGCAATACAGATAAAGGCCAAATTACTTTCTGGCCAAGAAGCAGCCCATAACCACAAGGACCACAACTTGAAAACCATCGGACAAACAACAAACTTCAGCATCAGCCCCTCAGTCCCACACTCACCCATCGACCAAGTTGTAGTGTTTGAATGCCTCCGTCGAGATCCTTCAGGGAAAGCTTGCACAGCAGCTGGAAGCCTGCCCCTGGGATCCCTTAGACACGGCGGCTGATTGGTGATTGGCTCTCTGTCTGACTGTTTGGCTCGGCTCTTGTGTATCGGTGTGTGTGGTGTGTGTGGTGTGTGTGATTTATAAAGATCTACTGGAGGCCAAAGTGTGAGACAGACAGAGGGTTATGACTGCCACTTAACTGCGTACTGCGGGGAGGTTGGAGTTGAAACTACCGTAAAACTACCTATAACAGATCCCCAAAGGTTTGCAGAGTTTACAGGGATTTTGCTTCAGCCTCAAATATGGGAATTTGTGTGCAAAGAAAGGGGGAAGGCAATGAGATTTGATTCGAATGATTTAAGGCCTATGCAAGGGCTACCTTGCGGCCTTAAAGAAGTAAGAAACATTTGCAGTAGTTTAAAGGAGTTGCAGGAAAGTTGCTCACAAAAAATTGTCATAAATCTCTCTCTAAAACTTCTCACACTTTCCACCCCAAAACCCACTTTAAACATTGTAAAAAGCTTCTTCTAATTACTCGCCAAAGATTTCCCACCTTCCACTTAGCAAACTTTTCCGTTTAAACGCGGCGCACAAAAAAACCTTAACCAGCTTTTCCAATAATCATTTGCCTTTTGGGGTACCTTATAAAGGGCCAGCCAGCATTGAAGGCTCCACCTTTTACTACTGAAAATCCTCTCTGGCCGAAAATGTGACCACAAAAACTGTGGCACAGACACACACGAAACGAAAATCCTCTGCAGCAAAAAGCAGTTACCGAGAAACGACAGCCAAAAACTTTGTTCTCTTTCTGTCTCGTGTGTTTTTTGGGTGGGGGTACAAATTGTAGTTTGGATCTGTGTTTGGTGACAACCACAAAAATAAGTGTTTACAGCATTGATTACAAGCAAAGGGCGTTGGCTGCAGAGATAGAGAGAGAGAGAGAGGCTGGAAGGCATGGTGGCTGAGGCAGTGTTGATTAGAGCCGCAGCAAGCCGCAAACATTTTTGCATTTCTCAAGGCACGGACTTTGCAGCATCAGCATCCAGACAGCCAGAGGGGGGAGAGGCAGAGGCAGAGGCAGAGCCAGCCAGAAAGTTGGCAGTCAGTTAGCGTGTCAGTAGTGCCAAGGGATTGTTTTGGCCCATGCAGCGGGGATTGGCAGAGGACTTGGGGGCTTGGGGTTTGAGGCTTTGCGGGAATTGGTTTAGGTGTCAACTCTGCGGCCACCGCCGTTGCTGGCGTTGCTGCTGCTGCTGCTGCTGCTGCACACACAATTGACAAACAGTGAAACCCTTTTTGTGGCACTTCCGTTGCGTTTTGTTTGCTAGTTTACAACCAACAGCAATGCCCCCGACTGGTTGCAAGCCTGTTGTGGCAAAAGTTTATACCCCAAGCATTTGAACTGCATTTCATTATGGGGAGGATGACGACGACGACGACTACGACGGCTGCTTCTGGACTTGCAGCAAGAGGCAGGGCGGCAGCAGCGGGTGGCATGCAGCAGCAGCAGCTAGCAGTTGGTGTGCAGTGCCTGCTGTGGGGCAAATGCAAATGGTGTTGGCGCCATATTGAAAGCTCCCCCCCCCCCCCCCCCCCCCCCCCCCCCCCCCCCCCCCCCCCCCCCCCCACACACACACACACACCAAATTCTCATTCTAATGCCCGGTAGATCCTTACTCCTACAATTTCCATTTGCTCCCGCATTTTGTAGCCGCAGTGTCAGTCTTTTGTGGTCGATGAGAGGGGCGGCTGCTGCTCCCCAACGAAGCGTGTAAGTGGCCCCTCACACTGGGAAGTTGAAGTGGTGCACGCCCCACTCCTGCTGTAGCTGTGGCCTGTATATTGTATTGGCAAATATTCTCATGACAATAGGAATTTTTATTGAATTTATGCAAAACAAGAAAAGGATGCGCTCGCGATAGGGCTGTGGTCGAGGGTTGGGATACACTTCATTCGTTTTTTTCTTAAATTATAAACTCTTTTTTCTGGGTTCTGTTTCTGTTTTCTGACAGATATTAGTTGGAACGTATTTCTGTCCACAATTCTACTATTTTGAAGGTTTTTATTTGAATTCTTACCAATAACAACTAACTAACAGGTCTAATAAACTTTTAAAAATATTTTGAAAGTAAATTGCCATGATATAGAGCTAAAAAATCACTAAAAATCGAATTCTTAATCGCATTAAAGCAGACAAATATTTATGATATTTGATATATGATATATGATAGATTTGATAATAATTTCCGTTCCTTATTCCTACAACTAAGCATCAATTCCGTCATAGAAATGAACCAATCGATGATCCAAATTTCCCATGCCAACCCCACATAGTTCTCCATAGTGTATTAGAAAATTGCAAATTTCATCGGCAAGCGGCAAAGCGTTTGCAAAAAAAAAAATCAAAAACATTTTCCATATGTTTTTTTTCCATTTTTTTCCAACTAAATTTTTAAGTTTAGGAAAAGTTGCAGCAGGGGCAGGCAGAGTCGTTTTTTTTTGCGTTTGTGAATTGCAACTGACATTACGAGTAAATGAAACGATTTCGATTGGCATTTGATTGAATTCTGAATATCCGCGAATTTACCCTAAAAACAATATAAAATACAAATTAAAATAAACTAAACGAACAAAATGAATTGTTCTAAAATTCGGTGCGCATTTTTTCCACAAACATTTGAATGTAGCGCTGATCCTTGGGATTTCTGTTGAAAATAAACGCATTGCGTATGGCCACCTGGGACTCGGGTTCATTGTTGATGCGTGCCAGCGCTCCAGCTCTATAAAGCCAGCCCCTCATATTACCAGGATCCAGCTTAAAAACCACCATATCGAGATCTAGCAGAGCTGACTTGAATTCCCTTTTCCTGCAAAGAAAATGGCTAAGGTTTTCGCATGCTTTTGGGTCTAGAAATCCAACTTAATCTTTGCCAAGGCTCGATTGCAATAGAGCACAGGCGTATCCGTCACATATTGCAGACCCTTGGAGTAAAAATAAATGGACTTGTCGTAGTTGCCCTTGCGGAACTCTTCATTGCCTAATCTGTTGGGGAGGAGCATCTAAAATCCAATGGCATAAGTGGTCTCTTCTGCCTCACCTGCGAAAATTCTCTGCAGCGATCTGCCGCTCCTCATGCGCTTTGATGCGCTCCTGGCGAGTCATATCAATCTGTCGCATAAACGGCATTAAATTCACATTCCCGGACTTCATCATCTTTTTGAGTGTGTTACGAGCAGACGATTTTTGTTGCCGAAGTACGCGTGCAAACACCAAGTAATTGTCATCTGTTACACCCGCTGAAATGTCCTTCTCCTGGGTTTTGGTCTCATTGCCACGTCTGTTAGGGAAATTTCAGACTTAGTTGGGAGAATATTCAGTAAAGTTTTTGGTTGGTTTTCGTTTACTCTGCTGCCTTATTGGAGTTGGCCATGTCATCGAGTTGCTTTAATGTTTCCACGACTAGATTCCGTTGAGTTAGAAATGCTTCCTCGGGATCCATTTTTATTTTTTAGTTTGAGTTTTGAGTTGTTTCTGCGTGTCTCCTCTTTTGGAAATCAACTTATGCTGTCTACAGCCAACTTTGGTTAATCTTTTCATGTCTAAGCAATTATCATTAGCTACAGTCTAATGCCTTTTGACTGTGCAACATGTGTGGCCCAGTTGCAGCAGCCCGCCGCTGACATTTCTGACTCGTTAGCCAGCAGCAACGGCAGCTGGAGGCAGCAGGCAGCATGTGGTTTTTAGGATTAGCTCAATTAAAAATTTTGCGGCATTAAAAGTGTCTTCCCAGACAGCAGCATGAATCCTTGCCACAAGGAGTGTGTAGAAAATTGTTGAATATAAAAATAGACATAAGCCAAAGACAAGATCCACAAAAAGTCCTGCCTGTGCCTCTACTTTTTTTCTGCTGTTTGTCGCCCCGAAAATTATTTAATTGAGTTTGTTTGGAAAATTTCTTTTAAATTAAGAAAGTTTTTGTGCACGTGACGTTAAGGTTTTGCTTGCTCTCTTTTATTTTGCTTTATTTTATTTTTTGTTCATGGTGGTGATTCAGTCACAACTTTATTTGTCGCCTTTGGCAGGGCGCAAAGGGAGAGGGCGCAACGCTTTGGGGCACAGCACGTGCTGCATGACAGAGTTGCCAAAGTTTCGCAAGTTCTGTGGGTTTTTCCATCTTTTTTCCTAGGGATTATCCAAACGACAATAATCATATTAAATCACGCATATGATTAGGGCAGAGAAAGAGTCAGAGAATCCAGCTAGATAATTACCAAAGATAAGTTTAATTGTTAGACACACTTTTTTGGAGCATTGCAAAATGTTTTAAAAATCGCAAAGCTTGCAGCTCAAAAAGTTCGAAAGGTGCAAGCGAAATTAAACTTTTTTTACACAGCATAAGCTTTAACGAAAATATTTCTATAGAAGAGTAAACTGGGTCAAGAGGCAGTCAGCCAGCCGCTGGACTTTAATTGATGGATGTGGCAGCAAGTTAGAGAAGGATTTTAAGGGCTGTCTCTGTGCAGAGAATTGGGCATTTAATTTGGAACTTGCTCAAGCTGTTTTTGGAGCGTATTTTTAGCTATAAAATACTTCCCAGTGACACTCTTAGCAATAATCTTTGCCCCCACAGGATTGTTTCATCACTTTTTATGGCTCGCATATTATTTTCAATTTTCCGATGAACACAGCAAAATGCTCATTAATATTGCTTAGCAGTCGCCACCCCTTGCCCTCGTCCTTTGGCTTTCTCTCTGCCATTTATGATGGTCACTGGCACAGTGACCTACACACACAGAATGTGTGTGGGTGTGTGCGTGGGTGTGTGAATGTTTGGGGGTGCATGCAACACGTCTGTGGGCGGGTGTGGGCCACCTAAATGTGCGAACATTGCAAAAGCTTGGCATAGTTACAGGCGATGCTGCGCGATGCCTGTGTGATGCTGTCACGGCCGACATTGATGACTGCGTTGACAAGTTGCCCGACTCCTCCTGTGGCAGCTGGACTACTCCTCGCAACAGGAGGCACGTGCGGGTGGTGCGGGGTGGTGCGGGGTGCCCGGGCGTCTCTCTCTCTCTCTCTGGAGAAATGTGTCAAGCGTGGCGACTTGAGTTGCATAAGCAAGCAGGGGGCAGGCAGCACAGGGCGCTACGGCATGGTATGTGCCATTCTTGGGCTTTAAAGTTTTGTTCACAGCGTGGCAAAAGGCATCTCCAGATGCGCAAAACTATGTTAAAGTTCCGCTTAAAAAAAAAAAAATAGTTGACAAGCTAAAGCAAAGGTTTTAAGCCAGTTGACAGGCTAAAAATGGTTGCCCAAAACTTATTTTGTGCCAGCGCTTCTCGTTCCTTAAAGCCATTTTTAGGTCGAGGCTGATGGTGGGTGGCTGACCTGCCGCCTCAAGCTGTGCGACTTTTCAACTCGCCTTTTTCCACCTTTTCAACCGACAAAAGAATGTTGTAAACAACCGAAGCGAGAATAAAATGTGTCCCAGCAAGTCAAAGTTCAATGGGAAGTGGATTTTGTGCATACACTGCCCAGAGTTTTGGCATCCGGAGAAGGGAAAAACAGAGGAAGAAAAGCGGTAGAAAGATTGCTGCGATCGAAAGGTTAATAATTGTTTAACAATTTTGCAAAGTTTATAGCCGCATTTTATTTGCTTTAAAATATATTTTTTTTGTAAGTTTCAGTTTATTTTATCATCAAATTTTGTAACCACTTTGGATACTACTTTTCTGTGCTGTTGCCTTCCAGCATAAGTTATTTTGCAACTCGATCTTCCAGCAGGAACCTCCTACTCTGTGTTTCCCAGGACCTCCTCTTTTTCCACTCCGCTTCCCAGGCACTTTAACCTCCTTCTTTTCCATTTTTTGTATGTGGCGAAGGGCACGGCTGACTGTCAAGAGTTCAACTTCAGCGGCAGCCTCTCCCTGCCCCACTCTTTCGAAAGACAAGCAAAAGATTATACATTGCCCAGCCGCGGGGCATGCTTTGTAACCGAGAAGCAGCACAGAAACACAAAACAAGAAAAAAAAAAGGCGCAACATAAGAAAGGAGAGCAGCAAGAGACACAAAAATCTGGCAGAAGTAACACAGCGAGAGTTGCAGGGGCATGAGTCGCGAGACAGAACAAGGGAGAAATAAATTGCATAAACGTTGAAGGCGCGAGCGGGCCGCAAAAAGACAAAAAACAAAAAAAGTCCACCAAAAGGCAAACATGTTTAAAATGTTGTTATTCACACACAGAAAACACACAGAAGGGGGACTACCGTACCCACGAAAACCCACTGCCGAAATCCCTCCTGTAACCCGTCCTGTAGCGCCGCTTCAGAACCTCCTGCAGCATTTCCTGTTGGTGCCACACACCATACAAAGATTTGCATGTGGCTCCGCTCCGCACTCCCTTTTGGCACATTGTTTGTGGGCCTTATTTCTTGATTTTTCCATGCTTTCTTTTTGTATCCTTTGGCATCCTTTGTTACCTCCTCTCACTCTTTATCTCTCTCTCTCTACATGTTCTCATCTACCTCCTCTTTGTCGTGCTTTATTTACCTTGTTAACCTTTTCATGTTGACAAACTGCGCGAAAATGTCTGTGTAAAAGCGATATGGAAAAGCGGAGGAAATCTATGAAAATTACTTACCAGGAAAAGGGCTGCAGCTGAGGCTGTGGGTAATAGGTAAAAGATAAATATAATAAAATAAGGAGAAATTATTAATCAAACGAACATAAACTTGAGATAGAAGTTTTGGAAATATAAAATTGTTCATAAAACAAAACAATATAAAAATGTATAACATTTATAAAAATATGTACAACAAAATATTATTTATAAAAAATATTAAAAAATATCCACTGTTTATATTCGAGACAGAGAATTATCAAAAAAAATATGTAAAAAAAATTCCAAAAATTTCCACATCTAAAATTTAAAATAAAAGATTACAAAAAAAGTATTTAAGAAAAAAAAGCGTTATTCCAAACATGTGCAAAGGGATTGAAGATCTACTATTATAAATAAAACACTTAAATATAGGTAAAGTTTTTTAAAATTACTCAAAAAATAACAACACAACAAAATTATATTCTTTTTTAAATCGGTTTCTGAAACCTCAGAAAATTTCTTTATCTTGTTTAACATTTTCCCAATAAACTTAATTTCATTGAATTTCCAACGCGCAAACACACACAGACCGTGGAAAAGCCACTCACAAACACGCCGCAAAAGCCGCAAAAAAATGAAATACAATTTGAATTTTATATGTAGAATGTATCTCAAAATGTAATATGCAACAAACAATAACCGAAACAAGAAAGAAAATTGGCATACATTTTGCATATATAAATTTATATTTTAATAAGTTTAACTGAGAAAATTGCGGTGGGAGGGGGCTGCCAGGCTGCAAGGCTGCGGCGTATTAATATCAAGTATACGGGGTGGTGGCCATGTGTGGCGCCGCAGAAAAGGCTGAGGAAGAGGAGCCTCCTCCTGCTGCCAGGAAAAACCAAATTAAATCCTAAATTAAAAAATAAGATCAAAAGGATTTTGTTGTATGCGTAGGAGGCATGGCACGTGGAACAGGGGGAGTGACAGGCTTTGGCCATAGCATTTTTCATTTCGGTTTCTCTTTCTGTTTCTGTAAATTGTAATATTGCGCCATACTAGAATTTGCATTTCATATTTGCATGTCGAGTGTGTTTTGTCTTTGTCCAGGACTAAGGAATAAGCGTATTAACATGCAAGGCATATTAAGGATAACTGCTGCATGGGCACAGGATCAGCAATGGGGACAATCGAAAAGGCAGGACGACAAAAACCAATAATGCGCATATTAGACTTGATGATGATGCGGCGACGACGACATCGACGAAGCTTCTGCTCCAAAAGGTGCACTGTACTTGCAGCAGGATTCGAAGGTAACTTTGACCATGTAGCAGGCTGCTTTAATACACTAACAAAAGGCACTTGAATGCCCATTTAGATGCTAAAACCCATTCCTTTTTGGCATGGAAATCTTCTATCCCAATCTGTAAGGGCATCCAACAGCTGCGTTTTTCACTACACCCTTTCCTGCTTTTATTTTTTCCCACTGAATATTTTTTTTGTTTTGTTTTACCCCTGCCTGTGGGGTGGTGGGGCTATTGATTCCTTCGAATTGACCGCAGTGAGCTCTTCGTCGGTTGCATTCTGTTTGTATCTCTGTGTGTGCACACAGGATCCGAAAGCCTAAGCTGCATTTTGATGCGCCACACAGAGAGAGGTGGAGAGAGGCGGTGCTGGAAAAGGATGCAATTGCAGGTTGAGGCAGCACTTGCTGAATTGGTGCAACAGTTACTGGATTGGGAATAGGAGGCAGCACTTGCAGGACAGGCACTGCATGAGAGGGACAGGCAGCTTGGGCCACAGGCCACAGGCGGCTCCGTGGCCCTTTTCGTCTAAGCCAAAAACGTGCACAGTCTCTGGCAATCAACTTTAATAACATCACAGAATGTCAATAAATCCACAAAATGGTTCAGAACCATCTCCTGCAGCACTAGCAGCAGCAGCAGCAGCTCACCGCTTTCCTCTTATAATGTTTTTTTTTTTGTGGGATGGGCTGGGGGGTTGGGAGCACATCCTTTCTGGCTGATGATGATGATGATGATGATGATGATGGGCATGATGCTACTGTCGGGACATTTGCTGATGTCCAACAAGAGTATCATTAACAAAAGGAACTGCGTGCTGCAGCTCTGACCAAAAGTGAGGCCACAATGTCTGATCCATCACTGGGTTCTCGCTCCCAGTGCCCAGACCCATCCGGGACACATCCCTCTGCTACTTCCGTGAGCTGCTTATTGGATAGAACTCGCCACTCTGCTCTTCACTCTTCTCTACCAAAAGGTCTGGCCAAAGCAATTGATGTGCATACAACTTTAAAACGTTCTTTCACCCGAATTATGGCCAAAAAACAGAAGCTGAAACCATTTCTGGGGCTTAAAATTGCGCTTGTGTTTGGTTCTTGACGGATTCCGTTGCAAGAGAAGGCTGAATTAAGGCATAACTTGAAGGAACAAGTTTAAAACAAGAGTCTTAGTTGGCTGACCCAACAAATCCAATAAGATTTTGCATTGATTTGATCAACTTAATGTAAAATTAAATAATTTAACATATTTTGCCCACAGAAACATTCACCCTTATGTTTGCGGCCACGCTGCTGACCATAATATATGATTTAATCTGTGTTTTATTTATCCGCAAACACACAATTGACACTCGGCGGCGTGAACCCTAAGCACATTTATCATCAAACAATATTCCCCCCCACTGACGATAGGCGACCGCGCCTATCCACGCATCGACAGAAAGCGACAAAATTGTTTATGATTATCATTTACCAAGAATTTATGGACAACAACAGATAAATAAATAAATAGCCATTGATTATTTACTTTAACTGTCTTTTATTCGATAACACAGCAGCACAGACATCGAATGGTAAATTTCATTCAAGGTAGTGTTGGAAAACGAACAGCGCCTGTTCCTCTTTGTAAATTGTTAAACAACAAAAAAGTGCTGTTAAAGGTCACCATATTTCCTATGTTAGCAGGCCATGCTTTTCATGAAATGACAACTCATCAATTGCAAATCACTCAAACCATTTTCAGTTGCCGTGTGGCAAGAATCAGTGCGAAAATTTGTGATATTTTGCAAGTAAGATCTTTTTAACATTGAAAACAAACTCAAAGGTAGTTTAATTTGTGCAGTTCATCGCGGGCAATTGTGTGCGAGTGCAGCTCGTCTATGGTACAAATTGTTGTAATAAATTCAATGGGAATTGCGCAGAATCTCAAGGCTAGGGGCTGAGTGCGCATCCACGTACATACACAAGTATATTCTCAATAATGTCACAGATGCCGAAAACTATACGGCTTAAACTTTGACCATAGTTTAATTTTTTCTATGCCCCAAAGAGACAGAGACAAGTCGTTCCTTTTCGTTCGTTTCTTTTTAGACCTTATAAAGTGAAGAGCATATTCCGACGCGTGCACACAAATCGGGTACCAAAACTCTCTCTCCCAGTGTGACTTACCAATAAGGAAAGAGTTTTAATACGGCTGGGCACTCTCTCTTTCTCTCTCTCTCTCGTTCTCTTCCAAGGGAAAACTGCCCCCTTTGGTATAATTAACAATTTTTATTTCCATTTAACCTGTACAATTTTGCTGTATTTTTTTCTTCCATTGCCAGCTACATTTCTAAGGCAAAGAAAAATGAAGCGCAAACTAGATAGGGAAAAAGAGGAGGCTGTTCCTCTCAAGAAGGCAAGGAAGTCCACAAATAATGAAAAGAAGGTGGCAAAAAAGACCAAAAATATTAAAAAGAAGGAGCTGATTCCTCGGAAGACGGTAAAGAAGACAGAAACTAATAAAAAGAAGCAGACCAAGAAGATTCCTCGGAAGACGGTAAAGAAGACAGAAACTAATAAAAAGAAGCAGACCAAGAAGATTCCTCGGAAGACGGTAAAGAAGACAGAAAATAATAAAAAGAAGCAGACCAAGAAGATTCCTCCAAAGACGGTAAAGAAGACAGAAAATAATAAAAAGATGAAGGAGATTTCTCGGAGGTCGGCCAGAAAGATCGAAGAAATGGAAAAGAATAAGATCCCTAGGAGGTCGGCAAGAAGTACCAAACCGGTGATATACATACATTTAAGAGACCCGGTCAAGACCCGTCTGAAGACGACAATGAAAAAAAAGAGCTCCGCTACACAAATCTGGCAAAAGTTGTACGCCACTAGAAGGTGAAATCTATGCAACTCCAGGACGAGTGAACTCAATTTCTTAATTATTTTCTCCATTTAAAGGTTGGCAAAAGGTTCCACCCTGATGCGGCTGGCGAATGCGGAACTCAATAAAATGAACAATAAAATTGAAGTCATGAGCGAAGTCGTGAATTCTCTTAAACGGGCTAAAGGGGAAGACAAAAAAGAAATTGAAGAACTGAAAAAGTTGGCACACTGAACCAATCCAGCTGCACTCTATAATTTCACTAATTTGTACTCTAAATTTTTTAATTTTCAGTTCCGTTGCGGAATTTAAGCATGAGTTGAAAATTCAGAAAGAGAGGAAACAGATGAAGAAACAGATTAAGGAAGAAACTAAAAAGGCTAAAAAGATGTACGTCTAAGCACCAAATTCTATGAATTTAAAAAATAATAATTTGAAATAATTGTAGTCTTAAAAGGAAGAAACGAAGTGAAAAGAAAAGAAAACGCCATTCGCGATGCAAATGCGTTTGTGAAGAAAGAATACTCGTCCAACAGTATGTTGAAATGGCATTCTATTCATTAAGTAGAAACTTAATTTCAAACCTTTCTTTGTTATTTGACAGGCCTGAAATGTCTCCAAAGAAGGTGCCGTTTCCTCGCAAGACGGCAAAGAAGGAGAAACCTGAGATGCCATCGATTTTTCAGCCAAGTGAACAACAGATCATATTTATTGAAACATTATGCAGTAGAAAGGATGAAGAACAAGTAAGTACCTACGCTTTGCATTTATGATCCCACAAGGGATCCCTAAAATGCTAAACACTTTATTTCTATATATTTTAGATTATCATCACTAAATTGAGATACAACATTAAAGTAAAAGATATAAAGACTCTATACGGCAATGCATGGCTCAACGATGAAATCATCAACTTATATATGCAACTGATCAGCGAACGCTCCAGAAGCCAAGACCAACAATTACCGAGCGTCTACTCATTTAGCACTTTTTTCCCAGATCGTTTACTGAATTCTGGCTATAACAGTGTTAGACGCTATACTAAGGGAACCAACTTATTGGGGTATGACATCATTTTAGTACCGAAAAATGATGGTAATAACCATTGGTGGGTGGCAATTATTAATTTAAGAGAAAAAACTATAAAATCTTATGACTCGATTGACAATGGAAACGATGAGCTGCTCCATGCCCTCGCCAATTACCTCGATCAAGAGTCAAAGGACAAGTTCAAGGTGCCGTACGACACATCGCAATTTGTGATCGAAAATGTAAAGGATATGCCAAAGCAAGGCAACTATTATGACTGCGGTGTTTTTACCTGCATGGCGGCGGAATATGTGACACGCTGCCAGCCTTTGACCTTCCAGCAAAAGGACATGCCGAATTTGCGTTATAAAATGATTCTAGAGATCGCCAATGGAAAACTAACTGATGGAACATCATCCTGAATAGATACAAAAATAAATACATATTTTACATTAAATCATACATCATTTGTGTGTCCCACCAGTCGATAAGCCCTTTGCAATCACATTGCATGGTCATAAATTCCTCTCAGACCTTGGCTTTTGTTTTGATTGCGCCACCCAAAGAAAATGCCTGAAATGTCTGGGAAATATTTGCGCAATGCATGAATGCAACAAATTGCTGAATAGACCGACCTCTGACCCCTGAACAACTGACCATCCCTTGACTCTCACCTGATTGTCCAGTGCATGAGCAAGGTGTGTAATTTATCATTCGACCAGAGCCATTTTGCATTGCAGACTGCTATTTTTGGGGAGGCGGGGAGACAGACAGACTACCAGATTTTGAGTTGAAGGGAAGGAGCATAACTTAAGGATGGAAGTGATTTAATAATGAGAATATGTATGGAATTATATGGCTAACTTAGGGAACTTAGGGTTAAAACAATTATATTTATGGCTAAATGAATAAGGGAATATAGCTGGTAGTACGATGAATACCGACGGAAAGCGTATGCCCAGAAAAAAATATATATCCAAGGGAAAAATGCAGCAGAAAATACAGAATAAATCTGTGGAAAGACAAGCAATTTTAGGCAGATTATTCACTGGAACGTCTTCCTTACGCACTAAATACAATTTCAATCTTGCTGCAATTACAATTGAAAATATGCAAAATTTATCATACGCATGCCCGAACCATTTATTTACCTCCTCTTAGCGCAATATTTAAACTGTAAAATGTAAAATAAAACACACCTCCACCCACCTCAATGTTTGTTCAATGGGGAAACGAACTCTTGCGCCCAAACCAAAAAACGTGGCGATAATAAATTTATGGAAATGGCACTAAATATTTTATTATTGCTAAATATGCAACAATGCAAATATCGACTGCTGCTGTGTGCGTGATTGCGTCTGCATCTGTAGCTGTATCTGTGTCCTGTGTGGTCCTGTGTGTCCCTGTGTGGTCCTGTGTGTCCCTGTGTGCAAACGCATAAAACAATCGACTGCCTGACTGCATTTGCAAGGGGCCGGGGGAGAGCTGCATGAGAGATGGCCAATGGGCAGGCAACCTGCGTGCTCGCTCGCTGACAATGCATATAAATTATAAATACACAGATACACCTCACAGATACGCAATATACACGCCAATGCCAACAAATGCATTGCAGTGTGAGTCATTCGATAAAATGGAGTGAAGTTACAGTGCCAGCAAAAGTAATGGGCAGGGGGGTAAAGACGAAACGTGGCCGGGCACAAATTTAATTTCTGTTGACAAAAAATTACATGGAATTCGCGGGTTAACTCAATATGGAAAGGGTATTGGGTGGTTGGTCTCTGTAAAAACTGTGGTAAACAAATTGCATTTGATCGTTCAGCAAAAAGCAGAATCTTTCGCCTCTCGCATGCGCCTTTTCTCCATGTTTTACCCAGTGTGGCTTAGCTCCAGTTGGAAAAAGACTGGGCTCCTCCCCCATTTTTCATTTCTTTGTTTCGCCATAAAATCAAATTTCTCTCCCAGTGCGGCTTCGCTACGTTTCACAGCTGTTTTCTCCATTGTCTCGCTCCACTTAAATTTCTAACATTTGCTCTAATATTTTCCATCAATTAATTATGTTTATATTTTGCCAAAGCCTCTCAATCATATTTCTGTTTTATTCAAACAAAAACCAAATGGTATTTGTCAGTGCATTAAATGAGAAATAAATTCTCTCGTTTATGGAAAATTGAGCCAAAAACAATATTTATTAAACATGGATCATATACAGAGTAGGGATCCCTCAATCTCCTTCTCAGTTGTGGCCGAAACGAAGGCTGGGGAGAGGCCATTAATTTGGCCAAAGCCGCGTAAATATTGATACACAAATTGCATATGTCTGGGGCCTGGGACTGAAACTGGGACTGGGACTGGGACTGGGAGGGGGAATCGTGCGTTTGCTCATTTGTGAAAGTCAACAAGAGATTTCCATAATGCCCGGGAGGCGCAATGGAACGGCTGCAGGGGCATGGGAACACCTTCTGCCAAAGAGGCACCAGCTGAGACGAGGATTTCTCTGGGGATTGGGGCTTGTGCTTGGGCTTTGGACTACGGATTGGATTGCAGGGGGGGGGGGGGGGGGGGGGGGGGGGGGGGAGGACATGTGGTCAAAGTCTACGGGAGTCGCCAATTTGCCCGTCAGGGTATTTGTATGTTTGTTGATTTATGCAGCAGAACGGCTTCTTCTTAGAGCGTGACGGGGGCAGGGCACTTGGCTCCCACCTGCAGCGGGCACCCGTAGAGACAGAGGTAGAGTTATGCCTCCGGCGTTGCAGTTGCATTATTCAAAATTGGAAAATCTCCTCTTGCTGCATGGTCGCACTCCCCCGCTGTGTTTTCTCTCTCTCTCTCTCTCTCTCTCTCTTTCTGAGTGATTTAGCGTGGGCCTTGCCCGTTAACCGCAATGCAATTGTAATTACCCCGAATGGCTTCCGCACCCAAATTTCCACCCACTGTCCATCCTCGTTCCTCCCATCTCGGCATGGCCAGGGATCTACCTAATTTTTATACCCGGTATGCGTGGCCACCAAAGGGTGTATTCGACTTGTGCGGATGCATGCAACAGAAGGAGAAAATCTCTGGTAGATGGAGAACTATCTGCGCTCATTTCTCAATTTTGTTCCAACTTTCGGTGTATTTCTTATCGATATTTAAATGTCATTTTGTAGTCGTTATATCGACAGTTTATTTCCATACTTTTCCCACTTGGACTGCTCTCTGCTTTGCGCTTCTGCGCTGTGTTTATTGGTCGTGCCCTGCTGCAATTAGTTCCAAATCATAAACGCCACTTCCGCTTGGTCAATCGACCCTCTCTAGCCCCGCCCGCCCGCCCGCCAGCCATCCTACTTTTATCTAGCAAACCATTTTCCTACTGCATTTTCACTGCTGAATTGCGTGTAAATTTAAAATTTTAATCGTTTTTCTGTGCACACGCACTCAAAACGCAAAACCGCAGCCAAAACACTGGGCCCTCCTGCAACAATAGCAATGAAAATTGTATGCAATGCCACAGCGGGTGCAGGGATCCATAGAAAGAGGATAGGAAGAGGATTCCCCTCTTGCATTTACTGGGATTTATCTATACATTTACAGGGTGTCATCGTTAAAGCTGCTTCTTTTGGGGGGTAAAAGATAAAATGGGAATTATCTTAATGTTTACAGCTTATGGGGAAAATGGGGGAAAAATACGACAAAGAATTTAGACAAGAATTTCAGTAAAGCTTAAGGTTTGCAGCTGAATTTTTAGTGGAAATAAATGGAAATTATTTGTAGAAATAGCTTAGAAATGTCCTAAACCTTAAAATATATTTTAGTCTATATTTTTGCAGTTGAGAAATTGCGAGAAGAGTTTAAAAAGAGCAAAAACCCACTACTTGCTGCTAAGCCACACTGGAAGAGGTAGCAAAAAATAAAGCAAAAAAAAAACACCTTTACGTTGCAATTTTTAATGAAATTCCTATAAAAACATCGCGTAAATAAACAAACAAAAAATAAAATAAACCATTTTTACACCTCAAAGCCGATTTTCTCCAATTTAACACACAATATTTTATAGCCTTTTAATTTGTTGCCTGATTATAAAATAATGAAGTCTAAACAAACAAATGCTTACAAATAAAAAAATACCTACAGCTGGTCGACAAAAAAAAGAGGGGTCGAAACTATACGTAGAAAATTGCTGTGAAATATAACATGCTAAAGATTTAGCATAAATAATTGAGTGCACACACAGAATGCAATTTTCTATTAATTTATGCAGGGAAATATAATTAATAAAACATGCAAATTCGAGGCGTTTCACATCAGTTCACATTACGTCACTCGCTGAACAAATTAAATGAGATTACAAAATTGTGCCTGCTTAAACAGATTGATACACAAAAAAAAAGGGACGTAGGGGTACAAGCGCGATAGAGAAACTTCAAACAAAAATCGAATTAACAAATTGTGCACTCAATCAAAGCGAGTTTGTGGCCTTGTCTGCCACGGGAAATTCAATCAAAACTCTACAAATTGCATTCGAGAAGAAAAAAACCAGAATAACTTAATGAAAAGCGTCTGTCTGCAGCTTCATTTATTGCATTTAAAATAAGCGACAGAAAGTGGCAACCTTATTTTCCTTGGGGTGGTGAGAGGTGCGTTAGTGATGTTCCAGGGCAGGATTTAACCAGGAATTTGTTTCCTTTTGTATTAAAAAAAAATAGCTAACAATATTTAAAAACATTTCTTTGTTATTCATTGCGCGTGTGACTTCTTTCTTTGTGATTATCTTTGCTGTTGAAAGCGATTTGGCTGCTCCATTGAATTGGACATTGAATTTTCCTGCGGGTCCTCACAAACAATACGACAAAAAAGATTTCACAGATTTGTTGTTTCAACAGATTTTTCGAGCTGTACCTCAAACCCAACGCTCTGCTCTCTATATCTCTGATCTCATATGCATATATACAGATTTTTCTTTAATTTTATTGTTTTGTCGCTGCTGTCCAGACGGTCAAATCCAAACACAGACAGCCACAGACAGACTCGCGGGGGCAGACCTATTCGCATAGACAAATAAACAAATCTCGTCAAGTGCCACGCAACACACACACACACACACACACACACACTAACGCACACCCCTCACAGCTATAGATACTTGTCGTATCTGGCGAATGGTATGGCAAATGTGTTTGCGTTTGTCACTTTTGTGGGTCTCTGCGGTTCTTTTGGAGCGGGGCTTCATGGCTTAGCAAAGCGTCAACATTTTGGTAACACACTCACTCACTCTCTCTCACTCTCCCTCTGTCCATCTCTCTCTCTCTCTCTCTCTCTCTAACTGTTTTTTTGGCCACTCGATCCACGCAATTAATTTCTGTATCAGAGAGCAGTTGAAGTGCTTTGGCAGTGTGGCTAGGCATAGGGGCCTCTGTTGATGGTTCTGGTTCTGGTTCTGCTACTCGCTGTTTCAGGTGTGAGTTAAAAATTCCACACAAGGGTTGCTGCTGGCACGCGGCACTGGGGGCGGCGGGTAGGAATACGAATGAGTATTAAAAATGAAACCAGAACAAACAGCAAACATCAAAAGCTGCCGCCGTCCAGAGTGGCCCGACGCGACAAAAGGCAGCTGCTGGGCAATATCCGGAGGACCCTGCTCCGCCTCCACCGATCCCCACAGGGGAGACACATGTGTGCGGGAGGCCATGGTCTGTCTGATTTTTAAGCTGTTCTCTCGGTTTCCGGTTAAGTATATGACAGTTGCCAAGGTCCGTTTCATGGTGGGTTACACTCCGCTTCGTACTGCCAGTCTATGAGTGGAAAAAGAGCTTAACACGCGGCTAAAGAGAGAGAAAGTGAAGAAATAGAGCTTAAAGGGCCACTAAGGATGGAGAGAAAGTGAGAAATAAGCTTCAAAAAAAAACTAGATAAAAGTGAAGCGAAGATAAGTGAAAAGTTGCCTGAATTGGATTGCGGCAAGTGTTAAAACTTCAAAAGAGATTTGTGCAAGTAACTCATAGGTAGAAAAATGATACTAGATTTAGGGCAGCATAAGAGCAAGGAGCAGTGGAAATAGAAGCAGTAAATACAGAAAAAAAACAGTACACTAAACACGTGTTTATAAATTTTTAGTATGCAAATATTTGATGGAAATATAATTCCCTTTAAATTAATATTTTATTTATATTTTTAAGAATTTTATGTTTGAGCTAAATATGTTTTGCTTTCAGAGTATAATTGTTTATATTTCAATCAAAATTAATTATTTTAATGTGACTAAAGAATTTATGAGTCGAAATATTGCAAAGCAGACTTCTGCCAAAGCCACATCCTAGCTAGAAACATTCTGTTATGTTCTACTTAGTCCGAGAGTGCGCCTTGTCTGTGACTAGGATTTGCCAGCTGCACGGCTTTAAAACTCTGCATGAATATGTGCTGCGTGGAGCTGCAGGGCAGCATGAGCTGGAGTGAGCAACCACCAAGGCAGACACGCGACCGCGAAACGCAGACCGCCAACCGCTGCCAGTAGCCCAAGGGCCAGCGCCCCACCACCCCCCTCTAGCTTTGCCCGTTAGTGCTACTTTTTTGCTCGCTGCCCTTCAGCAGCCCGACAGACTTCAGGGCAACAACGAAAACTGATGTTTTTCACGCCCGAGATTTACGAGCGACGTGCATTTTGGGGCTACAACGTAAACGCACTTGATGCGCTCACTCTCTCCCTCTACAGCTGCCTCTCTTTCACTCCCACTATGTCAGTGTGTGTGTGTGTGTGTGTGTGTGGTTGTGTTTGTTGGCTCTCTGTTTGAGTATGTTTATCTTGGACTGTGGCTCTCTGTTGCGGCGTGCGGCAGCGGACTTTTGTGCCGCGGATAGGCCTTTTCGGCCCTAAGAGGAAAACAACAAAAATGCGGGCTGCCGCTTGCACAAAACTTTTTTCCCCAAAAAGAGGAAGGAGAACTGGATAGGTCTGACGACTAAGGGATGACCTGTTACAGGTAAATGTGTGCAAAAATCTCGTAAAAGTAGCTAAAAATAGAAATTGTTTGATTAATGGAATCCTGGATGTGGAGATAATAAATATTTTTACCTATTTGCCAATGGTAATAGAAACATATTTAATTCCTTTCAAGTTTGAAAAATATTCAGAAAACAATTAATTTTGATAAATATTTAAAAAAAAAAATCATCATACAAAATGCAGCTAAAGGCAAAGCTTTAAATCCGATATTCAAGCCCAAATACCATCTCGAAATATCATATCCCTTCTTCAGCCAAAGCCCAGTTGCTCCTGTGGTCAACAATCCCCACCGCATACCTCGCATAAACAGCGAAATGCGCTTTTGTGTGTGCTACGCTGTTCTGTGGAAGGAGTTGCGTTTTTAAAGCCTTTGTTCTCATTCGTACACTCATTCAAGTATTTTGCGTAGTTTTTGCAGTTTGAAAGCGTTTAATTTTAAGCGAAAACAATGACCAAAGAGAGAGAGAGAGAGGTAGGAAGAGCAAGCCGCTGCTCACGAACTTACGGCCAATGGGCAACATTAAAAACTTCCGTTTCCGCTGGCAAACCGAAAACCCAGACGCACACACAAAGAAATGCAACGGAAATGCCACAAAGTTCAAACAAGCAAAAGAGGAAACCCAAGACACACACACACACACAAACGCACAGACAAACACACAGGAAAACCGCCAGGGCAAACACTAACAACATTAAGGTTCTAGCCCAGGTCCTGCCGCTGCCGCTGCCGCTGCCGCTGCCGATGCTGCCTGCAGCACTCATTACCAAAATTGCAATAAATTTTTGTGCACTGCAAATTATTTGAAGTGGCCCCGCTGCTCCATACGTACACATAAAAACGTCCATTTCGAAATTTACGAGAGTGTTCAAAAAGAATGCGCTAAACTTTTATACGCTCAAAGGAGCGGCGAGAGACACGAACCGCTCAAAGACCAAGAAGAGCGAGAGAGAGAGAGACAGGAAAATGTTACTTGTAGTGTCAAGTGTTTTGTGGGACGCCCGCCCCCTGTAAAACCCCGAAAAGGAAAACGTTTTAATTGCTTTTTGTTTGTTGGGCAGGAAGCTCCTTTGCCGTAACGTGCCGTACCCAAAGCCCAAAGCCAACTGTCGTGATCGATGAGTTATGGGGCGGCAGGGAAAATTGAATTTTTTGCCACTAAAAATTGTTTGAAGGTTTCAGTGTCTGTCTGTCTGTAGGTGGGATTTAAGAAAGTTCGAGAGATACACGTCGAAATAAATATACAGATTGAGTGTTTGAGTAGATAACAAGTGAGTTGAGTCATTCAAAGGTTGGATTGCAGGGAGTAAAAACATAAGGAACTGTGGCTAGAAATGGATCAAAATATATTTTAAGATTTTCGTTTTTTATGGCTTTTTGATAAATGTTTCTATTCAAACCTAATGGTAAATCGATTCAAATCATTTACGAGTTTTAATTAACATTTTTCAAATGCTTAAAATTCTGTCTCATTTCATTTCCTTTCATTACCACTAAAAGGAGAGTTCCCTTGAAATGCATGCCTCATAAAAATGTCCTTAATTAAAACAGAAAATCATCAAAAGTCAAATGTTTGAACTGACATTTATCTGTGTAGCAGAGTGCAGCCATCGTTTGTCTGCAGCTAAAAAGCTTTTCATGTCATTCCGTCACTCTGTGAGCAGATATTTCATTCAGATCTTTCATTCTGGGCACACAAGTTTTTAAATAAAACTGAGCTGCAGAGAAAATGTTAATT